GTTTTATTATTCAGCATTACTGGCAGCGTTGGCAAAAGGAATACTTGAATGAACTCCAAATCCGAACAAAGTGGAAGCAGACTTTCCAAACTAGACTTAAGGTGGGTTCATTAGTGCTAGTGAAAGAAGATGGTGGTATAACCTTGGACTGGAAATTGGGACGCGTGGTTAAACTTTTTCCAGGTCTGGACGGTATCTGCCGAGTAGTGGATGTAAAGCTTCGTCAGAGTGTTCTTAGACGATCAATTAACAATATTTGTGTTCTTCCTATTGACTAACGAATTTATTTATTTTTTTTTTGGTTCTGTAAAGAACATTTTGTTAATTTTAATTGTTTGTTTTTTGAAAGTGTAAACCCTTTCAAAGGGGGGAATATGTTAAATACCACTTTATTTTATTTAACGTTTGGCAACAACGCCTATATTTTGTTTGACTTTTTATGTTTTTTAAGGTTAGAAAAAAAAAATGTGTATCAATTATTATTATGTCTGTCGTTCAGGCGACGTAAACTGCAAATAAACGTTTTTTATATAAAAAACACCTTTATTAAAAAACCAGTGAAAATCAGAGTATACAGACACTGCATCACTGATTATGTATCTAACATTCAAACTAATCTTAAATTAAATAGCTTAAATAATTTTGCCGACGTTCTAGATTTGATTCAACATAACTTTGTATTCAATGATTACAATAAGCTCTTAGACTTGATGTATTATAAACATTTCTGTTTGGTTGAAAAATCTTTAGAACCTTTGGTAGAAGAAGATAAATATCATCCGGCTTTAGAAATTACTTGTAGAATAAACGAAAAAAAGCAATATAAGAAAAATCTTGAATCTTCTTACACGAATTGCTACAATTTTCGTAAAGCAAATTTTCCACTCTTGTATGAAATGTTATCTACTGTGAATTGGGATTTTTTGGAGGTTTTCTATGATGCTGAAGATGCCTGCACGTACTTTTATGGTAAATTATACAATATACTAGATCAGTGTATACCTAAATATACTGTAAGTAATAAAAGAAAATATCCTCCGTGGTTTAATGGTTCTATTATTAAGAAACTTCGGAAAAAGTCTAAACTTCATCGCTTATATCAGAATGAGAATAATATACAAGCTCTTCAAGAATTTAAGCTCATCAGAGCTGAAATTAAAACTTGTGTATCTGAAGCTTATAAAAATTACATAGCAAATCTTGAATTTGAAATCTCAGCAAATTCAAATAAATTTTGGGCATACGTTAATAATAAACAATGCCAAGGTAAAGTTGCAAGCACCATGAGTTTTGAAAATAAAACATTAAATAATCCAACAGAAATAGTAGAAAGCTTTGCGGAATATTTTGGACAATCTTATGTCGCTTCCAAGGGTTCAAACATATCATTAAAGGACGTCCAGCCATCTCAGCTTCATATAACTCATTTTTCTGAAACCCAGGTCCAGGATGCTTTAAAAAACATTAAACCTAAACGTACCACAGGACCGGATCATATTCCTGCGTTCATTTTAAAAGATTGTTCAGCAGTATTAGCTCGCCCTCTAACTATTTTGATAAATATCTGCCTTAAATCCAATACAATTCCTTCGATGTGGAAATGTTCTAAAGTCTGCCCAATTTTTAAAAAAGGTGAACGTACTGATATCAAAAATTATAGGCCGATTTCTATCATTTGCAATTTCTGCAAAATTCTAGAAATATTACTGGAACGTAGTATTTATCAACATGTTTGTAATGCAATCTCAGCTCAGCAACATGGTTTTGTTAAAGGGCGTTCCACAGTAACAAATCTTTCTGTGATCACACAGCAAATAGCTGAAAATATTGATAATCGGGTCCAAACTGACGTCATCTATACGGATATGACAAAAGCATTTGATAGACTTGATCATAATATTATGATACAGAAACTTTGCGCATTTGGTCTTTCTAATAGTTTGATCACACTTTTTCAATCGTATCTCTCTCAAAGAACACAATATGTTCAATTAAATGGATTCAAGTCTAACAAATATTGCGCCACCTCTGGTATACCGCAAGGTTCAAATTTGGGTCCGCTGTTATTTAATATTTTTATCAACGACATTGGTGACGCTATAAATGTTGATTATTTGCTGTATGCTGATGACTTAAAAATATATTCAGCTATTGAAAATATTTCTGACTGTGAACAGTTGTCGGAAAATTTGAACAAAGTTGTTGAATGGTGCAACAAAAATGGTCTTACACTGAATCCCGTCAAATGTAACGTAATGTCATACACATTAAAAGCGCATCCAATTAAATTCGATTATGTCCTTGATGGACGTTTGCTTTCTAAACCCAACAATTTTATGGATTTAGGGGTTACATTTGACCCAGTATTGTCGTTTAAATACCACATAGATAACATCTCAACAGCTGCAAATCGTATGTATGGATTCATAGTACGAGTGGGCCGTGATTTTAAAAACACAGATACTATTAAATCATTGTATTTCTCATTTGTTCGATCTAAACTCGAATATGCCTCGTTTATTTGGGATCCTTATTATCAAATACACATTTGTCGGATAGAGTCCACACAAAGGCGTTTCCTCAAATACTTAAGTTTTCGGGCAAACCAAATTTATCCACCGATTGGTATTACTCAAAATGCTTTACTGACTAGACACAGATTGACAAGTCTCGACGTAAGACGAAAGTACTTCTCCATAATTACCCTCTACAAAGTTGTTAATTTTAAAATCAATTGTGAAGCTCTTTTACATATGCTTAATTTTAGAATCCCACGCGCAACCTCTCGAAACACTGAATCATTTTACATAGCGACTCCTCGGACAAACGTTCTGAAGTTTTCACCTGTATATAACATGTGTAATAATTATAATAATATTAGTGAACAGTTGGATATATTTAATTGCAGTGTTAAAAACATAAAAACACATTGTTTAAAATAATTTTGAATTTATTTACTGTAATTTTAGATTAATTATCTATATGCCTTTTGTTAAACTGTTTTCTTTCAAATGTACTCCTGTTCTGTAATTGGGTTTAACCTGTTGAACAATGTATAAATAAATAAATAAATAAATAAATAAATAATAAATAAATTTCCTGAAAATTTCACAAAAATAGGACTAAAAATAAAGACAGAAAGAATTAAAAACTGTCAAAGTGTTCGGTTTGCTCTTAACGGTCATTATTAAACAGTGTAATGATAGATAGTGAATAGCTTAATAGCAATATTTAGTTCATATTAAGTATTGACAATTTAATAAATGGATTAATAACTTTATTGACGAGTATTTGCAGGTCTTAATACTGTCTATTAAACAACCACTTTAATTATGATTATTAAATAGTTTCATAGAGGTCGTTCAAAAATATCCTCTCCCTCAAAAATTAGCGGTGGTCTCATTCTATATATAGGTAATATGAAGTATACCCATGCAAACCTTAGGTAGTACCCCACTTTTAAGCTTATTTTTTGTTTTTATACGCAAGTACATCAATAAAAGTTAAATCCGAGTTAGTGTGGACCCAATTTTCCAAAATTTAGTGTTGTTTTCATGAAAAAAAAAACCTTTTTTAACGATTTTCTTATTTTTTTAGAAATGTAGTTCCAGATGATTTTATAAATATAATAAAGTTTAAAAGTGGGGTACGGAGTACTACTAACAGTTTGCATGGATATAGTTCGTATTCGTTAAAAAAGACACATACCAAAGACTCCTTAATTTGCCAATCACAAATTTAGTAATTCCGTATAATTCATTACTTTTGTATTTACTTTAAAAAACACAAACAAATAAACTGAATTTCGTAGGGTTAGAGTTATTTTCTCATTGCATGTCATGGAGCAATTTTATTTATTTTTCTTTAATGTTTTTGTTTACATTTAATTACTTAAAAAATTACTAATAACAGACGTTTCAGATTAATACAGGTTCCAGCAACCAATTACTAATAACAGACGTTTCAGATTAATACAGGTTCCAGCAACCTTCTTTTAATTTCTGGTACTAACCGAAAATTAAGTAATTTTTTAGTGACAATCGAATATTTTTTTATTAAACATGTTTAACCACATTTTCTCGGTGCATGCAATTTTTTATTCATATCACTGAATACTGTGATAATAGTTTTCTTACTGAAAATGATGGGTCCGTATAAGATTAAGTGTCGGAATTAAAAAAAAAAAAAAAAATGTAACAAAAAAAGAACTCATATTTTATATAGTAAGTCCCTAAAAAAAATTGCGGAAAATCCACAAAATTTTAAGAAAAAGAATCAAAAATTGTAATTTTATAGGTTATTTTAGTTTTATCGTACTATACGGAGGTGACAATTTCGAAGTTTTAATAGTAGTTGTTACATTTTAACTAAAGTTAGATATCTATGAAAATTTAGGTTTGATTTGCTAATTTAATTTATATTATAATTAAATGCATTGTATTTCTGAGAATGGAAATTTTTGAAAATACAGTCCATCATTACAACTACGCTAGATAGAAATAGATGTGCAAGGGAAAAAATATTAGAATTAGAATGTTTTTCAATGTAGCAAATATTTATTTTTAAAGAAAATAAATTCAACACAAGTGCGAACAAGTTAAACATAAAGAAAGTAAAGACTCTCATTAAATATCATAAATGATAGAGCCCGCCACTTTTTAAATCTCTCTACTTAGTAGTGTCCTACTTTATCGACTGTTATCGACGGGATTAGTTCCCCCAGAGGCGCTGTTCCTAATCTTATACGTACCCAAAATCATGTTTATTATAAAAAGAAGACTATTTCACCATCTGCCCGGTTCATTTAACATATCCGTAAGTAGTAAGCAACTTTTTTTCTAAATCTGCCGCCCCTCTCAAAGTTGCCCGGTGTAGGTGTCCCGCTTACGCTACACCACTGAATTTACTACTTTTCTGAAACATCAGAGAATTTTACATCACACTGTTAAAAGTAAAAGGCCACATAATTTAATATTTGGAGATGAAGAAATAGATAATATCAAAAAAAAAGAAGAAAATTGAAACATAACCTAAAAACTTTAATATTTTGATTTTTCTCAGATTTTATTCGGATTTCGTATTTAATTTGTAATAACAAAAGTGGATGTAGTGCAACTTCTTTTTATCAAAAGTTAATTTTCAAATAATCTTAGAGACATGCAGTCATTACGACAAAGCTTACGTTCAGGTAAAATATTTTAGTAATATGCCAGAAAGCCAAAGTAAACAAATATCGATTTTTAGGTTCTTTCAGTCACTTTAGAACTTTTACCACATCAAATAAATTAGAACTAATACAAAAATGGAGATCAGAACGAGGTCTTCCTTTAAATCCCAATGCTAATGGGCTATTAACTGATGGTCCAGATTATACATTTTCGGATGGCAGACTCACACCTTATGGTGAAGGACAGAAAAAAAGAATACTAAAACAACAACAAATAAAGGAAAATATAATAGAGTTAAGTGGAGAAATTGACTTTGCTGTAGACAGGCACAAACAAATACTTGAGGCTGAAGAAAATAAAAAGAAAGAAATTCTGAGTAAAAAATTAAAGCCAAAAGGAATGGCTTTATTAAAATCAAAGAGTTAAACTGTTCGAATTTAGTTAATTGTAAATAAAAATTTTAGAATCTTGTATTTATTATTTTTGACCAACCATTTACTGGAAATAGTCAATAACTGAAAGAATAATAAAGTAAAAAATGTTAATGATTGACATAGCAGGAACTTTATTGAAAATAATACAATGAATAGGTATAAAAATTATTTTTGCTTCGCTATTGGCAGCTTTAAAAAGCTAAAAATAAACTCACTCTAATACAAAAAGAGTAGGTTGTTTTTTATTTGAAAAGAAATCTAACTTGTGATGTGGCTCCAAATTTTTATATTATGGAACCAAAGGCACCACTCAATCCTTTGTGCTATTTGAAATATTCGGTCCTGAGAAGGGGCCTAATAAATTGGTGATGGGCAAACCTGTTATTTTTAAATAGCAGTTACTGCTTTTTTATAGTAGTTTATTATATCAATCATGGTGACTTCTTAAGTGCTTACACATCTACTGGTGCTAACAACTTCCATCATCACATCCAGTCAGGTTCAAAATGATGAAATAAAAATAATTTTCGATTAGCAGCTTAGACGGAAACAATACAGGATTAGCAATAGCGAGTGGGTATTGAAATATTAGTGAAAACTGCTATTTAAGTAGTAGTTATTTTTTAATAGCTAATATCAGTTAAAAGTTGCTTAGCTCAAATAGCATTTTACTAAAAAGCCACCCATCTCTATAATAAATAATATTTTTTACTTAGTCAAAAGTGACCAGGAAGAACATTATCTCTTAGATGTTAATTTTAAAGAACTTTGTTGAATACAAATTGACAGTCCTACTTAAATTTCTATAAAAGTACAAAGACCATAAAAAGCAATATTTGTAGGTCGAGACTCGTGTTCTAAATTGTCTTCTTTATCAATATTACATTTTGGTTCTAATTTACATTTTTTTTTTTATTTAGTTTGTCACATCTATTAGGAAGTTCTGAATTAAAAATAAATAATAGGACGCATGATGGTATTTTTCAGTAATAATTTAGTTAGGACTTATTTTTTTATAAAATGTTAAGGAAGACATGTATAAGGATAATCCCCGATTAGTGGTATCGGAGGGAGGCGTAAGCAACCCTCAATACCCAAAAAATAGTGAATGAACACAATTAACTTTTTATATTACAACCGGTTGTGTCTCTGTTGGCCTATAAACCTGGTTATAACATTGAGAGATCGATTGGCTGGTTGCAGATCTCTTCAAACATGTGTGCATGGCGAAAATTTTATTAGTTAAGCTTCATTTTTTAATTATTTCATCTGTTTTAAGCAGTAGAATTTGAACATAACAGTGTGTGAGCCTTGATTACGTTTCTTGTTTGTGTTAGTAAAACTTTACCTGTCATCACAGGTATAAATGAGAGGGAAACTCACACTAGGCTTGTTTTAGATATTTCATGACAAACTCAAGAGGTTGTTAAAATCTCCCGACATGTCCTTGAAAAATAAATTTGTCAACTGTTTTTGAGAAATGGATTCGGCAGTTTTGTTTGAACCAAACAAAATCCCATATAACAAAAAAAATTAAAGAATAAGCATAAACTTAAATAATTGAAAAACATTGCCTTTGAAGTTAAGAATAATATTAAACGTTCCTTATTGAATTTCAATACCCAACAGGCCATCCACTGAAGTGCTTCAGCACAAGTTACAATTAAATCAATTTAACTTTAATCACAATCAACTAAAATAACAAATTTAAGCGACACATAAATTGTCATTAAAGATTGCAAAAATGAACAAAATCATTGTGCAGGTTTAGAGCATTTACAATAATGATATATAATGTAGCAGACCACTCAAAATTAATTAGTGTGCCCGGTATGTTCAAATGGCTCTGCAAGGGCGTTAAAACATATTTAGTTCTGCAAATGGAAATGTACACTAAAAACAGTTGAAATCATAAAACTTTCATGGTGTGCACATGTTTGAGGGGATCTGCAACTCTTTTAATACTGGCCAATCAATCTGCCAATATTTTAGCATGGTTTATAGACTAACAGGCAAAGGATTTAAAAAGTTACAGTATTAATCAAATTATATTGTGATCACTATTTTTTGCTAATTAGGGATGCTCTGCCTCCCTCTGATACTGCTATCTGGAAATAACCTTATAGGTGAGACTTATATAACATTCTCTAAAAAATAGCCCTTAACTAATCACTAAAAAGTATCACCAGCTCTGGGACTATTGTTCAGTAGTGAAAACCAAACTTTTAAAAAAATGTTATGGTTAGTGATGGGAATAATCGGATGATTCTAATAATCAGAATGTTAGTATTCGATTGATTTTAATAATTGGAATAATATTCCGCTTTCTGATTATTTTAATTAAATGCTCCTAACATCAAGATTTCAGATCACTTTTTTGTTTTTCTTGATTTTTGCTGACCAGTGTGTATATTTTAGGGGTTACGCACAATTTTTTTAAGTATTATTCATTGTTAAATAGTTATTTTTCTAATTTTTTAAGAAACAAAAAGATATTATTCGGAATCCATTGTTTTCAGGTTATTTTTTATTTTTGCTAAAATAATACTTAGATTTAGGAATAAAAATTACTTCCCTAATTTCTAAATAATAGTTTTCTGATTACAACAGTACCGATTAAGATAATATTTCGAATCTAAATTCCAAACAACTCATCGTAAATCATCCGATTCATTGTTATAAATCATCATACGATTCTTTGTTATAAATAATCATAAACTGAAACATAAAACACAAATACTAATGAAATTCGAGATCTCAAGAGATAATCGGAATATTTATAAATAATCGGAATCATCCGATTATTTTAATAATCGGAGAGATTCCGATTTTTGTATCTGAATACTTCCATCACTAGTTAAGTAGTTATGGTACTTGTAATATATGAATCAGAGTTAACCAGATATGTATTGAGTTAGTAATTTGTTTTTTATATTTTAATAAGTACTTATAGTCCTTATATGTATTTAAAGGCAAATATTTAGCACAAAGGAATTTTAACTTAGGTGCAACTGTAGTTGTTACTGGTCACCATGTCTAAATGGTAATGAACTATTAACAACTATTCTTATCTATTGAACTGTGTGTTATGTGAACTTCCAATTGTTTACATTATCCAGTAGCAGGACACATTTCAAAAAATTGAAATATTTAAATATACTCTCCAAACAAGTAAAAATTTCATTTGAAGTGTTGACTTAAGCTAAAGACTCACTGCATATATATGTACTAATTTCATAATAATTGATATTGTGATAATAAAAGTATTAATATTCCTTTATATTAAAATAATTAACTTACTAAATTCATCCACCAAATAATTTTTTTTGCTATAGTGGTATATTCTTCTACCAACTCTGCCAAATAATAAAGGCCAGCAGCTACAATAATTAATGTTTCTTAATATAATGAATCTTATTTTTATCTTTGACTTACCTATTGCTATTGTAACAAAAATTACTTGTATGATAATTGCTAAATAACTTATTAATGTTAGGAACCACATTATAAATAATTTAGTACATTTTATCATGTAGGAAAAATATCTAAAGAATTGACGTCATATTCACTATCGAGTATTTACTTTGATTAACTTCTAATTTTTAGGCTTAAATACTTGAATTTATTAATTTTCTTTTTGAAAGATTTCATAGAAACAAAACAACCTAAAACATTATAACCTATTTTAAAAATATTTTAAAAGAAGAAATTTGAAATAGCTGAATGAACACAAATGACAGTATTATTAAAAAAGAAGAAATTTGTTTAAGAAAGAGCAATGAAGTGGAGATGAATAGAATGATAACTCATTGATAACTGTCAATGAAAAAGTCTGGACACTAAATTTCGTTTTGCAACTTTTTGTAAACAAAATCCAGGGACGGTTTAACAACATTTTGTACAACAATTATAAAATAGTGCATCGAAATAGTATATTACATTACGAGTGTGGAAAGTGACATTTTTCACACGAGTGGGAAATATTGTCGCACGAGGCGTAAGCCGAGTGCGACTATCACACGAGTGTGGAAAATCACTTTTCACACAAGTGATGTACAATATTTTTCCTACGACCGCAAAATAATTTCATCAAAAAATGTAAAACCAGATTATTATAATAATTAAAATGTATTTAAAAAAATAATCAACAATAATCGTATTTATTAAATTTTCATAATTTCTAAACAAATAAAAAAAAATAAAAAAAAAATAAAAAAAAAAATCTGGCACAGCCAGGATTCGATCGCGGTCGTTGGACGGTCTCAAATTGCAAAGTTGATGCTCTAACCAACTGAGCTAACAGGCCTTACGGTAATTGATTGATCTAATCGCTTATGTGTTTAACCAGAATAAAAAGCAAATATATCTTAGTTATTTTAAAATTATTTTAAAAATAATTGTTAAAGATAAATATCTAGGATCTAATTTACAATAATTTAACAATCATATCGATTTTAGTATTAATATGGACATTACATAGATCAAAATAGAAATTATGTGTTTGACATTTTCTGACAGCTACTGCGGAAAGTAGCATATTCTCACTTGGGTGGAAAGTAAATTCTTATTCATACGCGTGTGATATAGGGCACTTTCCATAGGTCTATATAGTGTGATATGAGTCACTTTCCTAAGTGGTCGTAGGAAAAATAATTAACAAGTATAATTTAATACTAAATCGGAATAAAAGCATAAAAAATCATAAATATAAGCAAGATAACGAAGAATTGACGCCAAAAAAGCTTACATCAGCCAAAACACAAACAAAAAACAGAGCTGAACATGAACATAATCGCTGAATAAAGTCGATCCTGGAATTTGTTTACAGTGCTTTAGGGCCTCCGAGCAATTACTACTCGGAGTTTAGGGCAACCTCTCCTTGTCATTTACGTGTGTAACACAGAACAAGTAGTGTGTAAGAATGGAAGGCTGTTTCACGCATAATTTCTACACTCGTGATGGATGCGCAGACGGTACCTTATCGTTCTACCCTCTCTACTTCTTTGAGAAAGAGCATAGAAAGAGATAAGAGATGGTCTCAGAATCTTTGAACAAGAAAAAAACTTAAAATATTTGTGGAAATAAACCAGGTTTAAAATTATATTTTTCCATTGCAAGGTCATATTTAGGCCCGTATTTGTAAACAGAACGTACGTGAGTCGGACTTGGGTAAGTCGTCCTTGAACTAAAATCGAAGTTCGGTTACAACGTTTCTAAAGTTCTAGGTCGTTCTGGTGTTAAACTGGAATTTAGAGATGGATATTAGCAAATCTGTAACTGTTATGTACATTTACGGATTTGTTACTACCCATCTCTAAATTCACGCGATATAACCGAACTTCGGTTTTAGTTCAAGGACGACTTACCCAAGTCCGACTCACGTAAGTTCTGTTTATAAATACGGGCCTAGTTTCGCTTAGGACGGATTCCACCATAGATTACTGATTCCACCGTTGTGTTAAACGAAGTTTAAAATGACATTTTTACTTTAACAATGTCATTTTAATCTCCGTTTAACAATTCGATCATGTAGGTATTAGGATAGATACGCCTTACCTGTGGAAGTAATAGGTTTAATGATTATCTAGACGGGGAGAGAGGAAAGGTATACAAACGGAGAACTTAGCAGTGCCGTACCGTATGGAAGGGGTTATATATTGTTAATTACTATAAAATGCTAGATGAAAGCGGATGGACATGATTTTAAAAATATTGTTTTATAGCGTATATTTTTAACTTTCAATGTAAGAATAGTTTTTCACAGTATTGTGATACTACGTAGACCATGCACAGGCTTGTCATATTGTATATTATTTACTCAATTTTATAGGATTATTAATTTTGTACTTTAAACAATTTGTATACATTTTGAGTAAATATACCTAGTGAAACTCGACACCCCTGGGTCTAATATTTTTTTATTATTTTCTTTAAATAGTTTGTTGCGTTGTTCGAGGCAGGGCCTTCCTAAGATATTTGGCGCCCCTGGGCTACTAGAAATTATGCGCCCCTCTTAATAATTGAAAAATGATTTAGATAAAAATAATACTAATACACATTTAACAGAATAAAAAAGTGTCCTTAAATTAACCTTTTTAAATAAAAAACACAATTAATTCAGCAAAATAAATGTTTTTTATTATATGTGTGTACAAAACAGTAAAAAAATAATAATATGAAGATTAAAAAATGTTGGTAAATATAAAAATAATAAGTAATTCTAGATGTTGACGCCGCAAAGAAATTGTACAAATTTGGCAAAAACATGAATAATTTGGTTACTTCAAAACAGTATTCCGCCGCTGATTCGCCAATTAAATTTAAGGAATGTGCTGCACAGAGTACATAAATCGCAAGATTGTTTTTTGATTTAATTCGTGCTTGGAGCCCACTATATATACCCGACATATTAGAAGCATTATCATATGATTGTCCTCTGCAATCTTCCAAACTAATATTCAATTCAGATAGTAGATTCAAAATGCATTCTTCCATTTGCTCGCTTTTATGACCGGTATTTTCTAAAAATTTTAAAAACCTTTCGGCAGTTGAACCATTTTTGTTTACGTATCTAATAACAATGGTTAATTGATCTATGTGCGCAATATCTGGTGTCGAATCTACTATTATTGAATAATATTTTGCGTCTTTTAATTCCTTGATAATGGAAGTTCTAATATTATTTCCCAACATTTCTACAAACTCATCGCATATTTTTGCAGATAAATAAGACACATTTCCAGTACCCTTATTCGCATAATTAAATAAATGTTGCTGTAAAATAGGATCAAATTTCAGAGTTCTATGCATCCTAAGTAATTTCCATTGTGTTTATTTCCAATGATTTGGTTGCTTCCACTAAAAGCTAATCCTCTTGAACATAAAAATTTAATAACTTCAACAATCCGCTCTAAAATATTTCTCCAATAATCTGTATTTTGTTCTAAAGTAATAATCGAATTAATTTTGAAATACTGAGATTTTACAGTGGATCTATTTACAAATATCCGCGTGTTTTCTTTATGTAGGAATGAATTTTCATGGTCATCAATTTTTTCCGGATGTTTCTAATCATTGAAACCTCCACTAAATATATTACTCGCACTACCAAATAATTTGCAAGATTCACAATAAACTTTTCCTGAAGAATTTGAATACAAAAGCCAATTGCGCTTCTGTTGTTTTCCATTTCGTAAATGTCTATAAAATATAGTTTTCGTAGCATACCTATTTTGTGATTTGTGAACTACTTTAGATGCAGAAAAATCTAATTTTTCAATATCTACCTCAATGTTACAAACTTTCATTATTATTTCCGTAATTTTATTTTCGCTTAATCTTCCCCATAATGCTGGATCTTCATAATTATCCGAAATTTCTTCCTTTTTTCCTGTTTCTGATCCTTTTTCATCTGTGCTTCTTCTTTTGCATTCTAATCGGATTTTCTTAATTTACATTTACATCTGGATCGGTTGACGTATTTCCAGCTTTTTTAACGAAACCTGTTATTACAGGTATTTTCTTGAGAGTTTCTTTTTGCTTCGCGTCCTTCTCTTCTTTAAATTTACGATAGGAAAAACCAGATAACTTATTTCGTTTGCCTTCCATAGTTAGCCTTGCTGGTAGCTATAATAAAATAATAAAAAATAGTATATTGTTTTACGAACAGGGAATGATAATCATTTCCTACGAGTACGAAATTTGCAGTATGAGCCGCAGGCCGTAGAAAAAATATATTTCTAAATTGCAACAATAAATGCAACTTACCTTATTCTAGATAGAAAATAAATGTTGAGCACTAATTTTTTTCGTCACAAATAAAGTTAAAATCACACAAAGTCACAAGAGCATACAGGCGCCTGCAAGAACAAGAAGTGAACTGAGAACTGTACGCGCAACTATCACGAGATACTACTTAGAAGTAGAAGGGTGGGTTGATAAATTTCTATAAGTGGATATTTTGTTAAAATATTTGGTACGGCTTACTACAAGAATCTTACGTAAAACCCAGATAATTTCATTATTCTAAGGAGGGCGGGATACTAAACAAATTGAATTATTAATTTTTTATTGCTATGTTTACTTATGGATGGGTATTTTTGTAAAACATTTGGTCGAGATTACCTTCTACAAGAATCCTAGGTAATACCCATTTTACAGAGGTTCATTTTTAAATAAGTAGGTAGGTATTCTGAATATTGATTATATTATAATTGTAAATTATTATCGTTTAATAAAAATGTTTATCATACTTAAAAAGTATTCAAACCATGATTATAGTATTTAATTTTATATTATAATCAAATTGTTAAATACAAAATTAAATTAATTAATTATCAAATACAAATTATTTTATAATAAAAATAAATTTTGTAGGTAGGTACTATTTGAATTTTTAAGATTTATTTGTAATTAAAACACAGAAACTGTTAACTTCTTATGCCAATATATAAGAAGTCGGGTAACCTAAGGTTCTCGACAAGAAGTCGAGTCGATGTCGTGAGGACAAAATTTACCAAACGATTGCTCATGGTACCGATTTTGACACTCGACAAAGGGACATAGATAAGGAGTGTGGTGTGGTGTCGGAAAGGGACTACTTTTGAGTCGATCGGTCGTGATTAAGCCACAGTCCTTTGACTCGCGTCAAAAATACTGACTCTGAATAGACTTCTTATACTTTGTCTTACTATTTCGCGAAATATCTTGAGGGGCGTCGGGGCGCCCCCTAAAAGGTTGGCGCCCCAGGGCTTTAGCCCATTTAGCCCTGTGGTTAGGGTGACACTGGTTCGAGGATATATCAATCACTTTCTATTTGGCACGTCTTTTGTTCATCGAGTGTAAATTCTTGGAAGGCAAATTCTAACTCAGGGGGCGGCCCGGAAGCCGTATATTGTTCGGGCTGTTTTTCGGTGTAATATGTTACGTGAAAGTTGAGTAGGCCCGCTACTCAACCTTTCTCTGTCTTATGCATTGACTAAATAGGAAAATTAAAGTATAAATACGGGGTCCAAAAGTAAGAACGGGGTTAGAATTCTTCCTGCCTTTCTCACGTCCAGTTGACAAAAAAAAGTGTAAGATTCAGTTATCTATAAGGTGACTCCCTTCTATATACTCTTCAAGTATATTGATTGGTTTATCCCGTTTAACTATAAGGTGAAAGCTTCTTTTGTTATATTTGGAAAACGCAGTAAAAGATATCGAGGGAGCAGATAAATTATTTTCTGTATGAAACGACTTCTGTTGCGCTATACACCGTTACCTTTAAGGTGACTTCTTTCGTTATATATTTGTATATCGAGAGGTAGTTATGTGTTACCTATCAGGTGACCAAACAGACGGACGTTTTAAAAGAGCTTAATTTTTCTCTCTTCTAAGGGTTTTGTAGGATTGTATTTCCAAGTCATTGGATTCTTTGCGTGACTTGTCTTGGTGAACCGTTGCCTATGGTGACGACGCCGGATAAAGAAATAGCGAGTTTTTTAGTACCTCTGATTCAATCGTATAAAACTTGTGGAAAACGACTAAAAGTATTGCGATTGTCGTTCTACTTTTGTCGACGATATCTTTTTCTTTGTTGTGTGGATCCCCGTACGTAGATTTTAGCGATAATTGTATCTTCTTTTAGACGTTACGATTATCGGTTTTAATCGCGGAAACGCCGTTCTAGAACATATTTCGAGATCAGCGTTTTCGACGCACATTCCTACCTAGTGTCCTTGGTATAGTACTCATGTATACAGCCGGGGGAGAGCAGTTATTGCAGCGTGGTTTTATTACAGGTATCATTTTGTAATTAATTATGAGTTTAAAAGGGGAACAATTCTTATTTGGTAAAATTTAGTAAATAGTAATTATTAAGTTATGTGGGTAGTTTTTTCATTTCATTGTCAGGGCATTTCATTTTATTTCCTAGGGCAATAATTAATAATTAAAATTACGGTCATAAAAATCAATTATTGTAAATCCAGCCACAACAACTAATAAACTAAGCCCTTCTGGTTTATGATCATAAGAATCGAGTGTCAAAGCCCTTTATTATTTTAGGGTTTGGGAAACCAATAACCTGCTTTTGTGGCTATAAATTGTCGTCTTTTGCGTTCGTTTAGATGGTAGACAGATGTTTGAATTGTATTACATTTATTTGTCGAGTCCTATTGTTAAGAAAATTACGGTAATAATATTTTCTTTCATTTTGTATGATGCAAAAGTGGGTAAAGTCATGTCTTACTTCTAAACGTTGATAATTTACTTTTTTGGGTTCTTTTTAAGATTGCATATGTACAGAGGCGGGTAACAATATAATTTTTGGTATTATGTTTAGGTAAACGGACATATTAGGCTCATTTGGGCATCACTTTATCACATAGGTTATAGAACTCCGGTATAATTGTTATCCTTTTAGAAAAATGAGGTGAGATTGAGGTGGGACTACAGCTTGTGGTTTCGGAACTGTCATTTATAGCATTGATTTGTCGGTAATTAGAGCAAAAGAGCCTTGCGCCGAAAAAGAGCCTTCTGCCACCCATAGTACGTGTAGAACCTCAATAGTAGGGCCTAAAAATGGTACATTTTCTCACGTCTGTGGACATAAATGCCTGATAGAGGCTAGGATGAATCTTAAGAAAAGATACCCCAAAAGCGGGCCTAACGGACATCCCCCTTTATATCAGGTGTTCTGTTGTCGTACAAGTTATTGTTATATATGCAGTACTGAGCACAATCGTAAAATATGGTATTGAGATATCAGCGGAAAGGTGTTACGCAAGATGAGGTTAAACTTCTTATTTACATAATTATATCCATATTCATATCGCGCCATACTCTTCGTGATACCGCTGAACTTCACTATATCAGACAATACGTATGCAGGTATTATATTAGCAGTGTGTATGATTGTGCATTATAAAGGGATAACAAATATGCTGTAGTACTGTCATCATACTTTCACCGGTTTATGGGAGCTTAATATTCCTTCGGTTAGAAATGAGACATGGAAAAGGCCACACATGTGTTACGTTAAACTAAACAAACATTATTGTCAACTTCCCGCTATAAGAAATAAGTTTAAATAAAACTATTCTTAATCTATTTTTGTGTTTACTTTTTTTGGTTCCTCCATTACAGCTACATTGAACTCTAAGCGAAATTTTGGGGTCCTACAAAAATCACTTCGTGGGTATCTACTAGACGTATTTTTAGGCCAAGGTTTTAAATATTTGTAAAACTAAGTTAGGACCCGGTTTGTCAGGTTACACTACTATAAAGCTTGACTGATGAAGGAGAAAAAAAAGTAGAAAAATATTGTGAAGAACCCGTTTTATAAGTGAAGCAAGAATATTATACATATTTCCGACTACATACCTTCCTTTATGAAATAAAATAAAGACCAATTAAAGCATTTTATTTATCAACCAAAAATAGTTATACACAAATAATAATAATAATAATACTCTCCCTAATTACGGAGATTAATGAACTTTATTATTTACAAAGTACTGTAGCAAAATTTTGCCGTACACAATTTAGAGGGAACAGAAGAAATAATGGCATTGTGTTTGTTCTTTATTTTAACAATTCTGACAATGCATGAAGTGGTGTGACTAATTTAAAATGGGTAGCGTCGATTGACATTTTCTGATATTTTTAAATACCTATAATAAGAATCCCTTATTTAAAATGGTTTTATTTGGATAGATGGCTATTTTTTAAAAATTTAAATGCAAATAAAAACCTACAATAAATAGGTACATATTATATATAATTAAAAATAAGCTTCAAGATTTATTCTCATTTTTTTAAAATAATATTTAAAGTAGTTCATGCGCAAGACGGCTTTTCTTAAGAATTCAATAAAATTAAAACATAAGGTTAAAGAAAATGTCTTTTACGTACCTACGTAAAAAAAAATTTTTTTTGACCGTCTGTGAAACGAGATATTAACAATGAAATTGTGCATAATTAACAGTTTTGAAGCTTGTCATGTACATAAGCAATGCATTTATTTCAAGATATTTCGAAAATGGTTGCTCATTTATTCTCAAGTTGTTCAGCCATAATGACATTAGACAATGTCTCTCGGAAACGTGTAAACGTATATACCATAAAATAGCCAGTTTCTACAATTAGGTATTTTTATATCAAGAAATAAAAAAAACCCTAGCACAGTTGTTACGCCCATGGATATCTACATTATTTACATTTCATGAGATTGATTTTGACATAACCTACCTGTGAAAATAGCTGTGAAAATAGCAAGCATTGGTTTGGGTGTTTTTGGTCCAAAATGTTCGGAAAACTATGCATCTCTTTACTATTTTGAAATGTATAATCACGTTTGTAAATAATTTCTTTCATATAAATAAATAAAACAAGAATATTTCACTAAAATAAAATACCGAATGACACTTTTAAAAACATACAGAAACAGGGTCGCCAAATGTCCAGTTAAAATATAGTATTTAATGGTTAAACCATAGAAAAAGGGTTAAACCGATGGATCGTGGTGAACAAAATCTAAAAACATCTAATTTAAACACCGATTCAATGCAGAAGAAAATTAAATGAGAAATTTTATGAATATGATCCAGATTCTTAAATGAACTGTTAAATATTAAGCTCCATATTAAGTATTTCGAACCTTGAAACATTGGGATGGGAACTAATAATTATTATCCTTATACGTTTAACCGAAAGTGACACTGTGGCAACCTCTGCTGGTACCACCGTTTGTTGTGCATGCGATTGTGGACCTTATTATCATACGACAATTGTTTATGTAAACAAGGCGTATGTTTAACATAACGGTGGAATCGGCCCTTAGGACCGATTCCACCGATGTATTAAACGAAGTTTAAAATGACATTTTTACATTAACAATGTCATTTTAATCTCCGTTTAACACTTTATGGACCTTGGTTTAACACAACGGTGGAATCGATTTAGAATTACGAATTAATTTGTATCAAATGCTTTTGCATTTAGCTTAAAATTCTAATTCTATGACAGAGCTTCCAAATGCAGCACCCCAGCATTAGGAAACAGTACCGAAGCTCAGAAAACTCGGGGTTAATGACCGCCACGATGTCCTTTACCAACTGGGAAAACATGTACATAAATTTTTGTTTAGTTTTAAAATAAAAATTTTGAAAAATAACATTTATAAGGTGACGTTAGATAAAACAATCAGGCATTATTTTGTTTCTTCGATTCATTTCAATTTAAAAATGTTTGGATATTGGTACATATTTTTAAATTTCCCTCACTTTTCTTATTGGCTGTCCAAGGGATCTATAAGTTAAATTTGGAAGCTAATGCGCATGTTCATGGCTATTACCTTTTGTAAAAACATCGTTAATTCTTTGTGCTTTGTTTACCTGGGTTGACACAACGCCACCATTTTCTATTTCTGTTCCTCGGTTATGTTCTTAGGTGAGTTGTGAAAACGTCTTTTCAAGTGATGGATGATCCTGGAAGAATGATGGGTGGTGGTTTGATGCCTCCACAACCGTACGGGATGACTCCGCAAGGTGAAGCCCCCCCTGGTAATGAAAACGAACCCAGGAAGCAGGACATCGGTGAGATCCTGCAGCAAATTATGAACATTACCGATCAAAGTTTAGACGAAGCTCAAGCTAGGAAGCACACTCTAAACTGCCACCGAATGAAACCAGCTTTATTTTCCGTGTTGTGCGAGATTAAAGAGAAAACCGTTTTGTCCCTCAGAAATACCCAGGAAGAAGAGCCTCCAGGTATGTATATTATACAGTGTGATTATGTGATTTGGAATATACGAGCTCCAACATCGCTAATTGTTAAATTTATAATGTGATATTTACTAGTTTTACACAAATTACTCATCCTACATTGCTCACAGCACACAACCCTTAGGTACCTAATTATTGAGTTACCAAAAAAAATTTTTTTTCTAAACTTGAACTATTTAGATGTATAAAATAGGATATCTCACCCTTAAAGAATGCTTAATATATTTTTGTGCAGGTTTTGTGCTTTTTAAAAACTTATTTTGATTAGTTTAATATAGCAATTGTTTTATTCATACCTATATATTTTATTTATTGATTTTCAGTTATTTCAAAAAAAGTTACAGACAAACTTTGTTTGAATTTTGTATATAGGGTTCTTTTACAATAAGAAAAACACTGCTGCATCATTTGGTTGAGTAACTCATTGACGATCGCCTCTGGCTACTACTGGGTTTAGTGGCCTGTTATTAATATTATAAAAATATAGGAATTACCCACTTTTTTAAACAGAATAATGTCACGTTAAGTGGTTTGTTAGGCAAACTAATTAATCGTGGGGTACGCCACTGCGTATTTCGGATCGCCCAAAGGATCTTCCAGTTGAGGAAGATCTTTGCGCCACCCGAAAATACTCACTGGAGAACCTTTCTTGTGATTTATTATGCTTGGCTTTACGCTACTTGGGAAGGAATAAAAGTCGCTGCATAAAAAACTACAAATCTTTAATAAATACAAACTAAAATCCCCTATAATAATACACCCCAAATATACAATATATACACTACAAAGACTTTAAAGAACCAACTGGTTACTTTTCTCAGAAATACCTTTTTTATTTTATTTAATTTTTTATTAGATTTATAAGATAACCTTACCACATATTTTAACAGCAAGCTGGAATGTCAGGACTTTATTTTTTATTTTTATTACTGTAATACAGCAGTGTATTACCTACTACCGATTTTCGTCACAGCCGAAGAACTTATAGCCTCGGCTATGCCAAAAATGTTGTTATTTTTTGTTTTGTCAATTTGGCTAGCTGACTCCAACATTGTTTTGAAATTGTAGAATCAGCATAACCGAATTGAGTGCATTGTTTACTTTCAACGTAAAATAAAGTTTTTAATTACTAGAGGAAAAGATTGTTATTGTTTTAAATAACTTTAAATGTAATATTAAACACAAATTGGAATTGAATTGAAATTAAAAAGATTGAAATAAAATTATATTTTTGGAAATGGCTTTAATAAAATTTGAGTTGAAATATATTTTTGGAAAGTACTTTATTTTATCTTTAATAAAAATCTAATTATTTTTATATGCAATTCGTGACAATAACTTATTCTTTTTTTATTGATAGCTATAGATAATGTAAGTTAATTTTGAAATAATAGGACATTATGTAGCTGTGTTTTTATTTTATTCTAACTCAGGGTTCGGAGGATATATATATCAAGTGATATATATCATATTTTTACCTTGATATATATCCGATATATTCGATAATTTTATTTATTAAATTAAAAATGTTTTCCACTATTCTGAACATCCGAAAATGTCTCAATACGCCCCTGTATAAAAGTATAATAACTAGCAATTTATATGTGTTTGTGTTAAAATATTAATGTTAATAAAATAATGTTAAAATCTATTTATTTTATTAATTATTTTTGTTTTTCTTTTTAATTTGAGTTAGAATAAACGGTTTTGTTGTTTAAAATATAGGTTTTTGTTAATATGTTTGTGTTAAAATTTAAAATATAGTTTGTGCAAGAAACAATACTATTTTTTAATTAAATAATTAAATTTTAAAAATGATATATATCAGATATATATCATGTGATATGATATTTATATAAATATCATGATATTTTCGAACCCTGTTCTAACTGTAATATGATTAAATTAAATATAATTCTACACACTTAAGGTAAAAAATAATTCCAATGATTACTCCCAAAAGTAATGGTAGGGATGCGCAAATTTTTTAAAACATTGATGTTGACATCAAATGATACAATGAATACAGAATAATGTTGTAAAAAATCGGAAAAGAAAATATCGATGTTTGTTTTTCCATGCATCAATGTGTATGGAAACATTGATTAAAAAAGCGCTCACTGAAGAGCAAAAAAAAAGGAAAGGAAAATAGGAAAAACCACCATCAAATCAAATGAAACAATGAAACGTGAATCTTAACAAAAAACCAAAAAATATTAAAAAGAAAATCATCAATGTTGAAAAACATTGAAAAGAAAATCATCGATGTTGATAGAAAAATCGATGTTAACAAATAACATCGGATAAATAAAAATTGATGTTAACTTAATAATATCAGATTAAAAAACATCGATGTTAAACGTCGATAATCGAAACCTAAAAATCGATGTTTTTTAAACATTGATACATTGTGCACATCCCTAAGTTATGGCACTTTAACCCTTTCAATGGCTATGTACTCTGGCAGCCAGTGAAACTACAAAATATTTTTTTAGTGATAATTTAGTGTATCATTAAATTTGATTTCACTTTTCTATTTTATTTTTTGCGTTTCTTATAATTTATTATTTAAATTTTTAATCCATGGTATAAAAAATTAATTAATAATCGTTATAAGCGAACCTCCTTATAGCAGAAAAAAGAAACAAAACTTAGAAATAGAAATAATTTATTCGTCTATAAAGAATTACATATTCATGAAACATGACATACATAAAGCGTGTCAGACTTGTCAACAAAACAGATAGTACACTATACACAGAGATAAAATAAATCCATGACACTATACAATATTTAAAATAACTAGTTTACAATATTTAAGATCAAGAGATCAGCACGTCACATACAAAAAAAAATTATATTGTTTAAAAATTATTTCAAAAGATTAAAATTAAAGAAGCTAAAATTCTAAGTATTCTTGCATAGAGTAAAAAGCATTCTCCATGAGAAACTTGTATAGAGTATTTTTAAAACTATTAAAATTCTGTATATGTCCAAAAAGTCTAAGAGTCTTATTGTAGCATAAGATTCCCTGGTAACTTAAGGAACCCTGCCCCACAGATAATCGGGAGAATGGCAGTCGCAACTCATCAGCCCGTCGGGTGTTGTGTGTATGGATCATATTGTTTTTTAGATGCGTTTCTTCATTTCTTTTAATGTTAGTTGATATGGTGTATATGTATAGACAAGGTAAAGTTAAGATTGACAGAGAAACGAAAAAAGTTTTACATGAATCCCTTGGGGCCAATCCTACGATACATCGGATTATCTTTTTCTGCATAATGAACACCTTGTTCATGTGTACTGAGCTTCCCCAACAGGCAAGGCCGTACGATAGGAGAGACTGAACAAGACCAAAGTAAGTCAGTCTAAGTACGCTAAGTGAAACTGTTCCTCGAAGCCGTCGTATTACGTAGCATAAACCACTGTTGTATAAAACCTACCAGAATAAAAAAATACAATATAGTTGTTTTTTATTTCATAATTTTTATGAAGCTGTACTTCGCTCCTGGTAAGGTTGTTGTACTAAATGAGGGCCCATTTACTTTGTAAATAAGTGGGGGTTGATTTAACGCAAAAATTCTGCTACATCAGCAAAGCAAGTAACTTTACGGTGACACATACCTTGTGTCAAAAAAAAATTACTCATATGTACCACCATTTGCGAAAGGTTTAAATTTACCACCACTAATATATATAATTTATGTTTTGGAATATTTTGAAATCATGATAAAAAATGGTATATGAATATACTAATCTAATGATATTTGAGAAATAATGATTCACAAAAAATATGAATTTATTGTAATTGTTTTCCTTTAAATCCATCTCAATTCATATCATATGCACTATTTTCAAGTTAAAACATTAAAAGATTCCCACCCCAACTCTAAAATTTTTCTTTTTGGAGATTACAATCTTCCTAATGGAATATTAAGGACTTGTTCCACAACTTCTTCATCTCTTTTCTCATCACAAGCAGATACTGAGGCTATAGAAACTATTTCAAACCTTTGTGCCTCTCAAAACCTCTTCCAATCAAACAAAAGTGTTAACGAAAAGGGGTTTATTTTTGATCTTGTTCTTTCCTAATTTGAACTTACTATTTGCAAGACTATCGATATTCTGATCCTATCCGAGGCTTACCACCTACTGCTCGAAACAACTCTTCAATATAAAACAAATATATGAAGAATATTACTACGACTTTCGTAATACCAATTTTACTGCCATACGCCAGTATTTTGAAGTCATTGACTGGGACACACTCCTTCATAATAAAAGAACTTTTTTATATGGTAAATACTTTCTATGATTCACTGTATTCAGCAATGGACATTTGTTCCACTTAAAAAAATTCTATGCTGGTATCCACAGCCTCTTGGAAAGTTGATTTATGATAAGAAGAATGCTCATATTTTTAAAAGTACGAAATCTCCTAAGAGTTGTGCCTTATTTAGTAGTCTTTGAGCTCGCTGTATACTCTTGTTTAGAGAGTGTAATTTAAATTATGTAAACTCTATTCAAACCTCTGTTAAAGGTAATATTAAGGCCTTCTGGAGTTTTGTTAATAGCAAAAAACATATTAATCCGGATAAAATGAATTTGGATGGATTTGAAAGTCCCTTGTGCTCGGAAATAGCTAACCTAAATTTTTTCCAAATTGTCAACAACTTATACTATTGATTTACAGTCTGATATTAATCATTTATCCGATTGGTGTAAATACAATGGCATGAATTTAAATGTGGGAAAATGTCACATTATTTGGTTCCACCATTCTCAACAGTCCACTATATTTGACTACACAATCAGTGGTCAACTTTTAGATAGTGTTAAACAAATTAATGATCTTGGAGGTATTTTCGACACAACTCTTAGCAATAATCACATCTAAGTTATGAGTAAATCTATGAAAATGTTAAAATTTATTAAAAGAACGATCCACGACTTTACTGATGTAACTGCTATTAAAATTCTTTATTGTGCTTTAGTTAGGAGTCACCTCGATTATTGCTCTATCTCTCTTCTCTCTCTTCCCTCATTTAAAAATAAGGTTTTAATAGGATATAGAGTGGATTTTACCAGTATAAACAGCTAAGGAAATCCAGTAAAATTATGTAAATAATTCAAAAATAAAAAAAAAATCTTAGTGTGTTTTACTTGTAAACTAATAAAATATGAGTGATCATTTTGTTCCTAGAAATATATATTTTTTGTAATGGACTCTTAACAACGCATCGGAATTTTCAATCTTATTTATGACGAAATAATTAATAACGGTGTTTTTAACATTGATTTATCCTTTTAATTAAGCATTCAGAAGAAAATGCATCCTATAGAATAACTACACATTGTTCAGTGCCAAATATTTTTAAGTAATTTGTTTTCTTCCCGGAATGCATAAATTACTTCAGTGGTTTGTATTTTTGTTCTAAGGGTCGTCAAGTCTTATTTGGCATTTGTGGACGTTTTTAAATTAGCTGAATAATACAGAAATTTATGAATTGATTTTAGTTTCAAACTGACATATATATGAAGTTTCTGACATTTGATTTATTAGGGAATATAATGATGTTGCAATTATATTAAATGGTGCCGCCTAAATGCAGTCAAGAGGTTTAGGTTTGTAACCAGTTATACTGCTTGTCAAAGTAAAAAAAACCTGGAATTTTAACTATAGGTATTATTATTTATTTAAAATACACATCGACAACTACAAACATTTTAAAATATACTATCAATAAATTTTAATCGACGCTACCCTTTTTATTTTGTTGCAAATCCACTTACTGCATTCTCCAAGAATTGTTAAAAAAAGATAAGTCACCTCATTCTTTTTCTATTTCACTCTTCCTACAATACACACAGAGATGGGACTTAAAAGTAGACATTTGGCAACAAAATTTAAATTTTCTGAATTTATCGGTACACGTCACGGGACATAGAAGACATACAATTTTCAAATTTAACAATTATTTCTTTGGCCTCCAGTGATATCTGAACAGCAAAATTTTGGTAAAGTACTTTATAAGTGGTAGAGTTTGAAATGGAATAATAAAAAAATTGATGATTATAGTCCATTAATTGTGGACATTTAATTATTTTTTAAGAGGATCTCCACTTTCTTGAAAGTCAGGGAAACATTTTTAGCAAAATTAACAGGAAAATTTTGGAATCTTTTGCAAATATGATTATTTTTTATTATGGCTTATTTGCTGTGTGGTGATACTTTTAAGGATCTGTTTCTTTTAAAATTACATTTTATAAGCTAATTTTTCAGTTAAAATTTTATGTGGTGGGATTAGGAAATTATAAAATAATTTTTAAGAGTTGAGAATTATTTGATATTCTCAAAATACATTCTTTTTACATTTTTAATAACATAATTGAATAGTGAAGATTCATAAGTTTTACTTTTTCTATTATATAGATCCACAACTGATGCGTCTGGATAATATGCTCATAGCAGAGGGTGTCGCAGGGCCAGAAAAGGGCGGAGGTGCTGGAGCTGCTGCTTCTGGATCAGCTGCAGCTCAAGCCGGCCAACCAGATAATGCCATTGAACACTCAGATTATAGAGCTAAGTTAGCCCAAATTAGGCAAATTTACCACCAGGTAAGTGCGGCAAATAGTACTACTTATTTCCGTTTTTATTTTTTCCCTTGGAATTTGGACCTGAGACCTTAAAAAAATCATAAAAATCAAAATAATTTGAAATACAATTTCTTAAATAGATCCCCTAAATTTGTTTTACCATTTTTTATTAAAGATTGTCTTACTTTCACTTTATTATATCCTCTTTTTTGTTACTTCATATTTGGACAGTTAATTAATCTTAACATCAAAATTTGACGTACATATAGGTTTTACCAATAGGTATGTCAATCCATTTACTAAAAAATATTTTTGCAAGTCAATTTAAAAAAAAATTGGGATACATCTTTTTATAGTTTACAACCAATTAAAATTAAAATAAATGCACTTCCTTATTTAGTCTACTTGACATTTTTATAGAGTCATTAATTCTTGTACTTTGCTATTGTTAAAAAAAAAAACTCAAAAATTCAACATACCCTCATGAGCTCTATTTTTTTAAATCAGCAACATTATTCAAATTATAATTGGATCAATGATTTTTATTTACTCTTTTTTAAATTAAAATATGTTTCAGGAACTCGAGAAGTATGAACAGGCTTGTAATGAATTTACTACACATGTAATGAACCTTCTAAGGGAACAGAGCCGCACCAGACCTATAACTCCTAAAGAAATTGAAAGAATGGTGCAGATAATCCACAAGAAATTCAGCTCTATTCAGATGCAGCTTAAACAGTCGACTTGTGAGGCTGTTATGATTCTTAGGTCTAGGTTTTTGGATGCCAGAAGGAAGAGGCGTAATTTCAGCAAGCAGGCCTCTGAAATATTAAATGAATACTTTTATTCACATCTATCAAATCCCTATCCCAGTGAAGAAGCTAAAGAGGAGCTAGCGAGAAAATGTGGCATCACTGTTAGCCAGGTAAATATTTTGGTGAAATGATTGAATATTTTAAAGATATGCTTTGCATTTTTTACCTAATTGAATGGTATTAAAAAAAATACATAAATTTTAAATGTTCAAATTAAAGCCATTAATCTTTAATTACTTCTTATATAAAAAAAATCTTAAATTTGGCTACCCAGCATGTCAGATAAATCTAGCTAAACTACTTTTTTTTTTAAATAAATTAAAAAGATTATTCACATGAACAATACAAATAAAAAATAGAGTTTAATTAATATTGGTATTTTACAAAAGGTTAGCAATTTACATTAAATTATATTATACATAAATAACAAAAAATATTATATATTACGATTGAAAAAAAAAAAACAAATGAAAACGAGTGATATTATGGAATCGAAGCGTTATCTAAAAATAGAAGAAAATGATCCAAATTAAAAATTAATTTTAGTCATAATTTAATAAATAATTTTAATTTATTAATTAAGACCATATTTGTTAAAAAATGAGAAGCCAACAAATTAGTTCTTATGGGCCAAGTCAAACACCTTTTAAATTATGAAAAAAGACTGCATTTGGGGAGTCTTATAACTAATTCATTTTAGGATGCTTATTTTGATAATAGTTTGAAATGTGGCTCTATCTGTATTTATGCACGAATAATAAAGACATTTGCATTAAAAATATTAATAATTTAAATTGGTAAATTATATAATTTTAAATAACATTATTACATAAATATGTATCTGAAATATTTAAAACTGTTAAATTACAAATGTGTCATTCTGCATTAAAAATAAATAGACCATAGAAGTTTTTAATGTAATTTTATAAAGCTCTCCTACTTGTCATTTGATTTGGCTTGTGGCTCCATAAAAATGCTTTATGACTTATATACAGGGTGTTTAAATTTAACATTGTAAGAATGATCATATGACCTATTCTACTTAAAGCGTGTTCACAAAGGGTGTTCCAAACAAACGGTTTCAATTCATATATTTTAGGATGTTAGAGAATTCTTGTTCTGGGTATATTTGATACGATCATAATAAAATTTAAATACTGAAGTGAAAAAAATATCCTAAGGCTACATCTCCAATTTAAGTTCCTAAATGTTATTAAAAGTGATTACAGAAACTTTTTAAAATTTTATTTTATTCTTTTCTCACACTTTATAGGAAATATAATAGTACTCTCATGTTTCGATAGTAAAAATAAAATTGTGACAAAATATAATTTTAAATAGTTCTCACAAAAAATACGTAAGATTAAGAGAAAAAATAAACACATATGCACTTAAATTATTATTTTTTACAGGGGTCATTTTCATCTTATTAGACATACATAATCGATCATTTAGGATGGAACACTCTGTATATAATTTTAAATAAGTTGTTGTAATAGGTTGGGTTATTTTTTATCTGTTTTTAATGGGTCAAAATCGGTTTTTGTTCAATTTTAAGTGCTGCAAGATGATGATCGTTTAGGTATGTATCAAATAATGTACTTCAGCTCTGTTAGGGAAAACCGTGAAATAAACTTTTTTAATTAGAATAGGAACAAAAGAATCCCGACCTAATACAATACTTTCAAACATTTTAAGTAGAATAGGTCATTGAATCACCCACTTATTTATCAACCTGTGCAATCGTATCACCCTGTATATATATAAAAAAATTTAATAAACGAGTTAAATGTTTCAGGTTTCAAATTGGTTCGGAAACAAAAGAATTCGTTATAAGAAAAATATCGGCAAAGCACAAGAAGAGGCGAACCTATACGCCGCCAAAAAAGCGGCGGGTGCGTCACCTTATAGTGGAACAGCCACGCCAATGATGTCGCCAGCGCCACCCCAAGACTCTATGGGCTATTCCATGGGATCTGCGTACGACCAGAGCTCCGCCTACGATGCAAGCAGTTGTGGTTATGATCCCATGCACGCTCAAGAACTATCTCCCTAAACTTAATTTAGGAATCCTTGATATTTCTTCAGAGACATTTAAACTAAAAGACTTAGTTTTTTATTGGTTTTTCGATTACATCGTCTTTTCCCATTGTTTTTCATCCAAAGTATCTATAAAGGATAGATTTTAAAGATATAAAATAGTAATAAAGTGGAGGATAGATATATGGAAACGAAACAAAAATGTACTATTTAGTCTATTTAGATTTAAATGTCTTTGCATTTCTTCGCTCTTTCAAGATACATAAGTATACTGAAGCTTGTATACCAATTTTGAATGTATACTACTTTTTGTATTTTGTGCAATGTCTGTGTATTTATCAACTTGTGGCAGCTACCACAGAGATTTTATTCTTTTTTTAGAACGCACATTAATGAATTATTATTTTGAATAATCCAAGGTGCCATAAGCGAATATGGTTGGATAGCTTGTAAGTGAATATTTAAGAGGTGATGAAAGCCAGTTAGTGTTTGATGTAAATTAAGTATGACTACACTTCGTAATTGTACTTATTTAACGTCTGCATTCCATGAATTATCTAGAAAATGTTTTACAGCCTATTAAAAAAAAAAAGAAAAACGTAGTTTAATGATTGTTATATTTTACTTATTCGTGAAATAAACCTAGTGACAGACCAAGGTGAGTCTTAACGTCGTTTCTTCTTCTACATGCATCTAAATCAACTCACATGTCTTCACTGGAATTTTGATGTGTCTCGTCTGTTAACACTTCTACTCTTGTATCTTATAATTCGAAATTGTAAACCGTTGCATAAAATATTCTTCTGTAGTACTTGTCTTTCAAAGTTTAGAAGTTACATTAGGTTTATTAAGAATCCTTGTTTCAGCATCATAATAATTATTTTTTTTTATTTTAATATCGCCAGTGTTAATCTTTTAGTGTTTAGAATAAACTGTGTTATAAAAAACAAATTTGAACTTAGGTCGACTTGTTAGAGTCTCAGACGAAATCTATAATGATATTAGAATGATCAAATGGAGAGCATTAAAAGTAACGTTGTTAACCACTTCCCAAAGTGGTTTGGTTTATGAAATACTAATTATGTGAAAATGTTCAAGATATGATATTGGAAGCTAATATCAATCCATTACAACTCTAGTGTTAGGTCATAAGCTTTTATGATGTTATGTGTATATCCTAAAGCAACTTTATCTTTTCGGTTTTTATCACCTTTAAATATATATTTATTAATTTCTTGATATTCAGCTCTACGGCGCCCTGGAAACAGTTTGTTATACTTTTTTGTTGTCTATATTTTATAACGAATTGCCTTAGAAATTATTTTTAAAATCCTAAATTGCTGAAAACCACGTTCTCTAAATTATTTTGTAGATAAATATTCATCTATAGTGTTTGTAACTAGTTGTACTTTTGTTGATTTCAAAGAATTTTGCGTACAAACATCTTTGGGGTAATTATTGATTACCCTAAGAGGATACAATTTTTAGGTTTGCAAAGTTTATAGACCATAACTACATAAGGTTTTGTATACGAATTGGATATAAGTAAAATTTACGCGTTTTATTACAGGGTAAGTCAATAGTGTGGTAAGTCCAATTATATTTTTGCTAACTTGGAAATTTTTTCAATTTTCATGGAACATTTTGTTAACAAAAATTTAACGGATCAAACACAATTGACAGAGCCTGCATGTTTTAATTTTATTTGTAGTGTTTTCTGTCAGAAATTGTCCTGACAGCAAGCAAATTTCTTACAAAGCGACATCAGAAGTAAAAAAGTGGATTCGACAATCTATATGTTAAAAAAAGGACATTGCTTAATAAAAAATAATGTATTTATTTTATAATGAATACCTGTTTTTTGGGTATGAGTAAAATTAATTTTACAGTATTGAGTAGTCACTCGGAATATTCTTTAATGGAGTTGGTAATTGGACAGACTAGGAAATTTTATGTCGTGAATTTTTAACAATGATTTACCTTAAGGCAAAAATCTGTATTTTACTTTAGAAAATAAAGGGTCTTCAATAAGATTTGGATTTTTTTATTTTAATATTACCAAAATAATTTACAAATAGTACCTTCACTAAAACATACAATAAACCGGATCACTGGTTGTGTGTGAAAGGTATTCAAAACATGGATCACAGTTCAGGGGTGTGGTACCAGTCATGGTCCGGACGTGTGATCAAACTTGTGGCACATCAAGATCTTTGGAATGTATGAGTAGACCTTTTCTGCAAAGGATTGTGCTATGTGTAGTCTGGCAATCTCTAAAATGATTAAACTTCCCACGCCGTTTCACCAAGAGAAGAAAAACTGGAACAATACCCTGTTAATTTCCACAATAACGTACCTATAGGTTATGTTTAATAATATAACAATAAAAATAGGCTGAAGGACCTTGATACAGAGCTGGACAGTATTGCCTCGAAAGTGCGTTGAGCACAGTGCTTGCAAGTACTTATAAAATGCAGTGCTCGTTAATTCATTTTTAAAGCCCTTTATAAAAAATGCTTGGTAATTGGTAATTAAATTCACATTTCAAGCCATGTAAAGTGCTTGCAAGTACTTAAAATGCCAATTAGATTTAGGTGCTTGCAACCACTTAAAGTGCTCCCAAGCACTAGAGGAAGAAGTCTTTAGTAACTACTAACAATCGTCTCTTACGCTCACGCAATGCAATATGCTGGCTGGTCATCCACAAAATCGTAGTACTTAGTTTATCGAAGTTAAAGTTACTTTAGTTTTATGTATATAAATAGTACATAAGTACTTGTACACACATCTTACTCGAAACATTTTTATATATATTCATTGCCAACGAAAATACTGAAAAATTTAAATTTTACACTTTTCCTCAAATTTTTTCATTACGGTCCATTTTAAAAAATCATGTATAGAATAAAAATAATAGAGAATTAAATTTTCTTTGACAATTTTCTTAAAAATTCGAATTTTTCAGTTTTTGTCAAATTTCTCGAATACGGACCATTTTAGAAAAGTTATGTATAAAAATGTTCTTCTCCAATCGTAAATAACATAAATTTCATAAAGTAGAAAAACGATCCTCTATAAGTTCCCCCCAGATGTTCAGACTATACCCAAAATTTAATCAATTCACCGCAGGATGGATTAAAGCTTAAATTTAAAATTGGTGTTTTTATCTTTATCCGTTTTTGAGTTATATTCGAAATTGGCACTTTTTCTTAAATATCTCGAATACGGTCCACTTATAAGGCCTTGGATGATCTGTATCCCATTTAAAACCAATATCTTTTAATAAGGTACATAATGACATGCGACATCCATTAAACAATTCTTTTTCTTTCAATTTTTCTAATAAAGAATCCAAAGTTACTTGTTTATCTGCAAACAAATATATAGGCATTTATAATTAGATGATATAAAATGAATAATCTACACTTACTAGCTTCATCCATATTGTAAATAACATGTCGAATTGTACTTGTATCTAGAGTTCTTGTATTAATTGCTTTCTTTGTACGAAGACGCTTTTTTGGAGGCCAATTTAAAACGACATCATTCTTAGCTGCTTGAGAAATAGCACTTATAGTGGACAAAGTTAAGTGCTGCCGATGCACACTAAAAAAATGAGAATAGTTTGATGTTTCTAGACAATATCAGTAAAAATTTACTTCTATAACAGCAGTTAAAGGTAATAAAGGACCATTGTTATCGCGTTCTTATTCAAAATACTGTATCAATGAAGCTATGAGCTCCTTAAATCGGCTATTTAATTTCTTTGCCATTTTTAAACCTGTCTATTTTCACGGAGCAGGTCAACTCGGCGATGTAAAGTCGGCGACGGTCAACTCGGCGATGGTAAACTCGGCGACGATCAACTCGGCGAAAAGGAATACAATAATATATTATTCAATTATTTATTATAATACAAAATAAGATACAACCTATAAAAAAAATTTGATTGGAGAATTTGATTAATAAAATAAAAATATATAAGAGATTTTAAATAAGAAACTGGAAAAAAGTTATTATTACTAAAGTAAATCAACATATACAGGAAAAAATATATTAAATATTAAAACTAAGAATCTGAAAAATGAACTTCTTGATTAAGAAATTAAAATTTAATGGCCAGAGTTGTTTGGAATTACAAAATTAAGGTGGCAATAAAATCAATTAAGGGTCTTAACTACAATTAGGGTTTTTAATACCTAGTATTAGAAAGCAAATAAATATTAAGGGCTTAAGATTTTTCAAAGCAAAATAAAAATAAGATTGCCTTATAATTGCCTGCTTAAGGGCTTAAGATTTTTCAAAACAAAATAAAAATAAGATTACCTGATAATTACCTGCTTACTTGTACCTACATCCTATAAAAGACTGGTGATATTCACTTTCCTTAATGTTCCGAATTCATCTCAGAAGTAAAGACATTGTGTGTAATTTTGTTTGTCTGTGTGAGTTTTTTATTTACTGAGACTCAAGATGGAAAATAAAGTTCTTAGCCAAAGGGGTCACGAAAAGTACTACTGGGATGGCTACCTATACACGAAGGATAAAACGAACAAGGACAACACCATTCAATTCTGGCGCTGCGAAAACAAGCATGAAAGATGCAAAGGAAGAATATGGACCAATATTATGGATGGTTCTTTCAAATGTATACGAAATGAACACACATGTAGTACGGTAGGAAATGCAGCAAATGTTGTTCTGCAAAAAATGAATACCACTGTGAAGCACCTGGCCGCGACAACGATGGAGAATCCTGCCCAAATCAGAGGACGAGTTTTGGAGAATGTACCAGCTGCGGTTAAAGGAATGCTTCCAAGTTCCAGTGTTATGCGGAGAAACATTCAAAGAGTAAGAGTAACACCATGTGCAAAGCACCCGCCAATCCAGAAACTCTTAGTGAAATTATCATCCCAGAAGTGTACTCGCAATATTATTACAGCCCTACTCAATTTGAGAATTTTTTGCTGGCAGATTCCGGAAGAGATCAAGTGGATCCACATCGAATTCTAATATTTGGTAGAGAATACCATGCAACATGGAGTGCAAGCATGAAAGAATTATTTGTTGACGGCACATTCTTATTGTGTCCTCCACTTTTTGCTCAAATATTTGTTGTTCTGGCAAGAAAAGATACGCATTAAGAGAAGGGTCCAGTTTTTCCTGTACTATATTGCTTGCTGCCCAATAAAAGTGCAGAAACATATATCAATGTGTTTAACATGATAAAAGTTCTTTGGCCGCAATTAAATCCGGAAAGCATCAGTGTCGACTTTGAGTTGGCAATTCACCAGGCCGTAAGACAAGTTTTCCCAGAAGCCGAAATTAGAGGATGCTTATTCCACTTGGTCAAAAATCTTCGAAAGCATTTATCTTCTTGCAATCTCCTAGGAATGTACAATACTGATCCCGAATTTGCACTACAAGCAAAAATGGTAACATCATTGGCATTTGTCCCAGAAGAGGATGTGATTGAGGCCATTGCCGAATTGGAAAATTAGTTGCCAGAAATATTAGAACCAATTTTAGAATGGTTTACCAGCAATTATATCGGTCGACTTAGGAATAATGGAACCAGAGTGCCAGCAACTTTTCCATCAGCAGTTTGGTCCGTTTATTTTCGAACATTGAATGGACGAGATAGGACAAATAATTTTTCAGAAGCATGTCATCGCAAATTGCAACTGGCTTTTGGTTCTGGCATTGCTCATCCTTCTTTATGGACATTCATAGATAATTTAAAAAAGGTACAGTCTTCGTACGATGCAGACTAATTGTAGTTAAAACCCTTAATTGATTTTATTGCCACTTTTAAAATCTCTTATATATTTTATATTTTATTAATCAAGTTCTCTAATCAATTTTTTTTATAGATTGTATATTATATTGTATTATAATAAATAATTGTATTATAATAAATAATTGCATATTATATTATTGTATTCCTTTTCGCCGAGTTGATCGTCGCCGAGTTTACCATCGTCGAGTTGGCCATCGCCGAGTTGACCGTCGCCGGCTTTGCATCGCCGAGTTGTCGCGTACCGCTATTTTCATTAGAAAGGTTGTTATTATAAAGATAATCGGTATTTTAAAAGAAAATTTAGACTAATCTGAATCTTTTAGTTGAACATTTAATACTCAAACTCACTGTCCTTAATATTTAAATGATAATTAAAATATTTAAAATAAATTATCCTGTTTTTACCACTCATATTTAACATGTCTTGTTGGAGTAGAGCCTAGCTAGCGCGTTTGTCTTTGAATCTGATGGTCGTGAGTTCAATCCTCACCAGTTATTATTTTTTATTTGATTTTTTTGTTTGTAAAATGAAATAAAACTTAAAACAGTATATAAGCCATTAATTTGCGATTTGAGTATTCTAATCGATGATCTTGTAAGTTATTTTTTATGCGTATCATAAAATTAATCCTAGAGTAAACAGGCAACACAATATACACATAAGATACTTTTCGTTTACTAGTCAAGTTAGCCGTGTCTGCCAAATTAACGTAGTAAGATTTGAATTCGGCAAAATAAAACTATATACTTTGAATATCGTGTGATCGTAGAATAAATATTGTGTGTAATTCGAGCGGAAAGCTATTTGCCGCTTACGATAAAATGCCGCAATCCGCTGCGCGTCGCACGGCAACTTTTTTTATTAAGCGGCAAAGTAGCACTTTCCACTCTTAATACACAAATAGCTATTTTCCCCATTTTAAATTAACAGTTCTCAAACTTAAGTACACTTACAGAATTTTGTGAACAAAGGCTTTGTATAAATTTATGGAATCATTAATAATAATGCATTGTATCTTTACGAATTGTCAATTTTAAGCTAAGTACATATTTTTGAATGTTTTAATAATAAAAATAATTTTCAGATAGCCAGTTGGTTTGCCAATAAACGAATTCGATATAAAAGAAATGTAGGTCAATCTCAAGAAGAAGCTAACCTGTATGCAGCTAAAAAGGCAGCTAGATCGGCCGCTTACAATAGCGCTCCCTCTCCTATAAC